CAAAAGCTCTGCGCACAGCTAAACTGAAGCTGAAGATACTGCTGCGTCTGTGAAATTTCATTTGAACATCTTAAAGTCTTCCTTTTTGTCTTTATAGATGGATGTTGCAGCTCCATTGTGTGCCTTCTGTTTTCATGGTGCTCAATTTTTATATATTTTTTTAACCACAGTCTTATAAGACTACCTATACGGATAGAAACTTAAAAGATAATAATCCCAACATAGTTCACAAATAACCTGGTTAGGTTTAAGTCAATTTGGGAAGGATGACTCAGTCGCCACTGTAACAAACAAGCAAAATGGTAACATGACACCCTTGAGTGGAGGATTTTATTACATTTTCACAAAACCGTCACCTACCACAACCAAAGCCATTGGAAGAGCCCAGTTTTTTTCTTTAAAAAAGAAATTTTCATCGTGAATAGCACTGAGAGTGGTCGTAACAGTATGTTGTAGGTATGCAGCACACATATTGAGTGATGCACCAAGCAAAGCAGATGCACTTTTACAAAATGAGTGCAGCGGAAGATGGAGAACCAACAGCATCAACCGACAATTTGATACATTAGCGGTAACACTATTCCATAATTTACATGTTTTGCTGACTTGAGGCCAGGAGATACAAACTAATTACTGTAGAGTGGTTGATGTCTTTGTTCACTGGCTACAACATGCGCACAAAAACATTCATCTCTCATGGAAGAGGAACAGCTCTCCACTGTAAAATAAATAAAAACGCTTCATGTCCACCTCATGGGCTTGTTGGCTCGCACCAACTGATAGACACAATTTTCTTGTCAGTTCACATTTTGCAATGTTTACAGCTAAGGCCCGACCGATTAATCAGCCAATATCACCTCATAAACCAGACAATTTTTTTTATATACTGTACTGTATATGCAGTACACACACAAAAAAAAATTCTCTCTCTCTCTCTCTCTCTCTCTCTCTCTCTCTCTCTCTCTCTCTCTCTCAACTTTATGAGGAGAGAAAGTATTGTAAAACAGTCAAATATTCCGCCGGCAATACATTTATATTGTTGAAAGTGTTAAGGAACCACAAAAGAAATGTGTAGTATTTCATTCATTATATATTTTTTAATTCATCAGCCGATTAATGAGTTATCAGAAATTTATTCTGCCAAGTATTATAAATGGCACTTGCTTGAAAAAAATAATAAAATCTATAAATAAATCTATATCGGTCGGGCCTTATTGACAACAGAACAGAACCATATTTTCTTTACATGCAATGTCTTAACGTGCATATGTGTTTGTGACAACTTACAGTATTTAAGTTGTGTCTTTTTTTTCTAAACATCTGCATATCGCTTGCTTTTTCTTACAAATGTGAACTTGATGACAAGATGACTTTGCCACTGGTTCATCCCTTTAATTCCTCGGTGGAGGATGAGGGTGTCTCTGAACCCTCAACGCACTCCTGCAAGATGGGAAGGTGAACATTATGTTGCATAAAAGACACGTCGCTATAGAACAGACAAAAAAAAAAAAAAAGTAGTTCACCTTCACTCTGTCCAGCTCTGGTCTTCCTGGAAGGGATTTCTGTGAAGAAATGCCCTAGAAAGAAAGACATGATCGATATTTTACACTGGGGAACACAATTTTGTGTTGAGTTAGGTCTCGCAGCTGTTTTTACCAAATTTTTGGGTATGGAATCCAAAACCGATCTCAGTTTTTCTCTATCATTTCACATTTTGATTAAGAGAATCGCCGTATTCTTAAAATAAAGAAGTAAATAAAAACATTAATAAATGTGTATGCATGTAAATTAAACGCTAAGACGGAATAGTTACGAGCTTTGAAAACTAACAAATTGCAGCAGATATTGTCTCAATTTTGCACTGTTCTCACCCTCTTGGACTGTTGCGTCTCCTCAATGGATTTGGAGCGGTTCTTCATGTGTTTCTGAGGTGAGGTGCTGGTGGAACACTTGGGATAAAAGCAAAACATTTGAAAAGTCTTTCCTTCTCATGTAGTACTCAATCATAATTGAAGATTTGATGATGTTTGTACCTCATCTGTCTTCTGCTCCATGGCTGACTTCAATGAAGATGACTTCAATTGGAAAACTGCCCAGAGACAGAATTCGCAATTCTATTCAGTGAAACCTACACGATACCAATGAGTCAAGACTTGAGGGTGATTATAGTAATCCAAGTTAAGTTCCCCCCCTCGAGCGCTCAGCAAGCCACTCTACACGAAACATGAAGCGCGAAGTTTAAGAATAACTGCTGACGTCACAGTAGCGTCACATTCGTGTTGCCAGCAAGTCAACTGGATGCTTCCAGGTCGATATGCCTGTACAGCTCACTGAAGTCTCTGAAACACCCGGTGGGACGCTCCCTGCAACTCTCATACTTTACATCAAATCCATTATGGGCCCACCAAGATGGTTGACTTGGCACACAAGGCTGTGCGCTTCAAATGAAATGTATGCTATGGACCGAGGAGACACTTTGGAGGAGAATCTCAGCAGGATGGCTGAGCACATCTCCGACCAGCTCACAGAGGTAACGTGACCTAAATCGGGAAGATAGTCTCACTTGTCTCACCAAGTCCCTCCCAATGTGCAATCCTTAAATAAAGAAGGCGGCAGTGATGACCAAGGCCAGGAGGATGGAGGCTCCTTCTGTTGGCATGTACGAACATGTTCGTGCTTGTATACAATGGCGTGCCCTACGACAAAAGCAACAAACTGGACTCTTAAAAGCTAATGCGGGACTCTTTCTGCAAGACTGGGCAAACACAAAATGTTGCCTTACAGTCTTTTGCATTCGTTTCTCCCACCCATCATCACTTTTGGTCACACAGTACAGCAGGAGGAACCAGAATGAAATATGTAACAGTGCATTAGTAGTAAAATACAAAGTACGACAGAGGTAAAACTGTTTTGCAGCTAAGGTTGACAGCAAAAAGCAGCAGGCTTGAAGCTTCCAGTAGCCGTCAGACAGGTGAGGATTCTTGTGGGGTTAATGCCAGAGAAAGACAGACGGAAAACATCGAGATTTACAGTCGATATAAAAAGTCGACACACCTCTGTTCAAATGCAGGGTTTTGGGTATATGCAAGGTAAAAAAAAGAAGGCAAGATCAATAATTTCCAAAGGTTTTGCAGTATTGTGACATATCTTCGCAAGCAATTCAGGGGGGATTTTTTTTTTTGAGATGGAAATTGAAAGTAAACAAATAATGTGGTGGCTTAAGTGTATGCACCCTTTTAAACTGGGTGTGTGGCTGTTCAGAATTAACATATCACATTCAAAGTCCAAATGTTCTAGTAGGATTTTCCAGATTTTTTTTTTTTTGCTGATGCTTTTACCTGTTTTTTGGCATTTAACTTCCCCTCTTAAATACACACACACACACACACACACATTATAT